AGAAAATACCAACATTAGCAGCAGCTAACATGTAAGACTTTTTTTTTTTTTTTTTTTTTTTTTTGAGATGGAGTTTTGCTTGTTGCCCAGGCTGGAGAGTGAAATGGCATGATCTCGGCTCACTGTAACCTCCGCCTCCCGGGTTCAAGCAGTTCCCCTGCCTCAGCCTCCCTGATAGCTGGGATTACAGGTACCCGCCACCACGCCCAGCTAATTTTTTCTATTTTTAGTAGAGACAGGGTTTCACTATGTTGGCCAAGCTGGTCTCAAACTCCTGACCTCAGGTGATCCACCCACCTCAGCCTCCCAAAGTGCTGGGATTACAGGCGTAAGCCACCGCGCCTGGCTAAGACTTTTATACATATTAATTATCTAGTTCTCCACTTTGTAAGGAGGGTAGTATTATTACAACTATTTTACAGAGACACAGAGAAGTAACTTCTCCAAAACTACACAGATAGTAAATGAAATAGGATACAAACCCAGGGAGTCTGGCATCAGAGTTCATGTTCTTAACTACTAAATTACATTATTTCTTTAGCTCAACCAAAAGTCCACTGGAATTAGAGAAGAAAACTGAGTACTAGCCCTGGTTCTTTCATTTCTTAATGTCTTCTTTATTCTCAGTTCTAGTCCTGGATCTTTAATATCTTAATCTCTTTATTCCTAACATGCCCAAAAAAAAAAAAAAAAACCACTCAAAAAAAAAATCATTCCATTAGCTGCCACTTTTTAAAATTCACTTCAATAAATGAGCAATACTTTCATCAAACTTAGATGTACAACTAATCTGGGAAGCCTTCCCAACATCTAAGACCAGGGCCCTCTTGCTGGGTGTTCTTGGGACTGTGTTTGTCCTTCCTAGAACTCATTCAATAGTACAGTTGTATGAATCTCTGAACAATTCCTCTCTTCCACTGGACACTAAACTCCACAGAAATTCATGCCTGCTTTACCCATCATTGTCTGCACAGCACACAGTAGGCCCACAATAGATGTCTCAACAAAAAAAAAAAAACCACTAATCAGAGTACGTTACTTTCTTTTTTTTTTTTTTTTTTAAGGCAGGGTCTCACTCTGTTGCTGGAATGTAGTGGTGCAAACTTGGCTCACTGTAACCTCTGCCTCCCAGGTTCAAGCAATTCTCCCACCTCAGCCTCCCAAGTAGTTGGGACTACAGGCGTGCACCACCATGCCAGGCTAATTTTTGTATTTTTTGGTAGAGACAGGGTTTCACTACATTGACCAAGCTGATCTCGAACTCCTGATCTCAGTGATCTGCACGCCTCAGCCTCCCAAAGTGCTGGAATTACAGGCATGAGCCACTAAGCCAGCCCACAGTAAGTTATAATACTTAAGAAAGAAATGGCAACAAGGTTTACAAGCTGCCTAAGGTACTAAATGTTGATTAAATTTCTAACCATTAAGTACTTTAAATTCATGTTTTTCTTCAAAGGACTCTAAAGTAAAATATTCAATACATACATATTGGAGCTACTTCATTTTGGTTTTGTTTGAGGTTTTTTTGTTTTTGTTTTTGTTTTCTAGCCTCTTTCAAGCCTCAGAGAAACACCTTAGTAAGCTAATGAAAAAGGAGGAGCACGAGCAGAAGGAGGGACAGAAGCAGAAGAACCAGAAACCAAATTTCTGTAAAGTATCCTGAGACTGATGATGTTCAAAGACTTTGACTTCTAATTGATTGTAAGCACTTTGTCTCTTTCTTCTTTTAAAAAATGCTATTTAAAGGACACTATTCAGAATAAGAATAGTTAAAATGAAAAGGTCATCTAAAAACAAAATGTTAAAGGAATGCCACATAATTTCAAAGCACGGAGTCCATTGCAAATAAATCTCTAAATTAACAATAGCTTTCATCTTATATCTTAATATCTACGCTGAGAAATAAGACTAGCAGTGTGGGGTAAATTAGGTTGCCATGTTACACAATTTAAAGATTCAAGTTATACTTGTTGGTAAATACCACTTGCAGAGTTAATAAAATATATATTCTACCTTCTAAACTAGTAAATCACCAGATTTAAGACATCTATCAAAATGTCCCTATTAAATACTCAGCATTAACACTGACCCAACTACACGATAAAAGCTGAGCTCCTTCAAAGGGACTCTTAAGTCCTCTCACAATTTGGTCTCTAGCCACCACGGTAGCTTCATCTCTTACTAATTGCTACAGACCATCTCACTTCCTAAGCTTAACTGTTCACACTCCCCATAGTGTGAGGAGTGTGCCTTTTATGACTCCATCTCTTTGCATTTGCTGTTCCCTCTGCCTGACATGCCCTTCCCTCTTCTGAGCTGTGAATATGCCCTCCTCCCTGAAGCTTTTCCTAATTACCCTCACCTCCTCCCAAAGAGTGCCTCCTGGGTCCTCTGTCCTCTTCATTATTCTATTACATACCACTGTCATTTTAAAAGTTCACCTCCCAAACAGCCTGTGAGTTCCAAAGGGAGGACCCACAGCTTAATCAACTGTTTCCCAGCCCTTAGCATGAAGACTAGCATTTACTGAAACTCAATATAAATACACCGAATAAAAGAAAGTTAAGTACTTTAATGTGAAAAACACTTCAAACTTTCCTATTAAAGAGTTAATGCATTTAACACATTGATTCTCAATCAGAGGCAATTTTGCCCCTAGGAGACATCTGGTAAAATCTGGAGGTATTTTTGGTTGTCACAACAAGGGCGAAGGGAATATAGGGGAATGCTACTGGCATCTAGTGGGGGTAGATGCCAAGGATGCTGCTAACATCCTACAAGGCACAGGGCAGCCTCCCACGACAAAGAATTATCCAGTCACAAATGCCAATAGCGCCGACGTTAAGAAACTCAGTTGTCAACTGACTTACTCGGATGTGATGATTCAATATCACATCTCTGGCAACAACCACAATCAATTTCACTTTTGTAGTTTCAACGGAAGCTTTTTAACAGTTGATAGGTATGCACCAACATTAAAAATGATCTTCATATAATCTCCATGTTTAACTTCAAACCAAGATTACTAGAAAGCATCCCTTATTTCTGAAAACCAATCTATAACTACAGAAGCCATTCTTAAACCAGTAAACACTTTTATTTGTAAACTTCAAAGCAAACCACGGGCAAACTAATTTTCACTTGCGGAACTATGACAGAAACACAATCTGAAACATGAGGTAATCAGTTCCTCCAGGTCTGATAAAAGAAAAATCTCCTAAAGCCTCAAAGTAAATAATGCACAGATGTCTTTACTGCTGAACTAAGGAAGTGATGGGAAAAGTAAAGGACACGCCCTTGCTACTGCCAAAATCATCGCTGATCGGGATTTTAAAACTGACAAAACACTGCAAAATACAATTAAATGTCAATACAGGTTGTCAGATGAAGAAGTTAACTATTTCTCCCTCTAATAACTGACCAAGTTTCACATGACTTCATTCTTTTAGGAGAAAGCTAGGCAGAAGCAAGAGCACTCCCTTCCTATCTACTGGATGACTCAACTCTCTTCCGCACATTCCTCGGCTGAACCCTACAAATTAACTAATTTCTTTTGTCCTTTGAACTAGTTATGCTACTCCCTCGGTAAAGAACTAATAGGCCTGGCACCTACTTTTCAATCATTTACATTTTGTTACACCCTATCAGCCTCAAAAAGAAAAGAAAAAAGCTATAGCCCCCCAAAAAATTTAACAGTTGATAGGTACAACAACTCTTATAAGAAAAGAGTTGTGAATTATGTTATTCTAGTAACTGATTCCTAAATGATACACTTACAGTTTTCTACTGCTCTAATCTTTCTATCCTCAAGGTTTTCCAGATTTCAGAGACAGCACTGGCAGAAACTAAGTGTATACCACTTGATCAAGCTTACTGCGGATTTATTCTCGGATAGCTAAAATAAGGTAGTGGGGCTTGGACAGAAAACGTCTTTTTAATTAAAAAAAAGTTTCCAACAGTGAGTAACATCTTCCTTCTCGGCTGACTTTGCCAGTGTCAGTCTCACGACTGGGCCCAAGCTAGGCCGGGGCTCACCACACCACCCTCCAATGTGGCCCAAAGGAGAAAGCGGGGCCGTGTGTGGCAGGTGCGCGTAGTGTCAAATTGGGGGACACGGGGAGTGCGGCGGGTGGGGAAGGGCGAAGCAAGCCGCCCGCAATCTCCCAGGGGGCGTTCTCCAGCCCGGCAGGCGGCCAGTCGGCCCGTCCCACGGGCACCAACTCTCCATTTTCATTCCCACTCCGGGATCCCGGGAGGAACGCGCCGGCACCACACCCTCCAGGTCGCAGCCTGCTCGCACAGACCGAGCCTCGCGCCGGAGCGGGCGCCAGGCCTCGACGCGCGGGGCCATCAGGGCTCCGCCTGCCGCCCCGCCGCGCCGGCCCCACCCGCCCTCCCCGCCCCCGGGCCAGGCGACCGAGGCCTAAGAGCCTGCCGGGCTGTGGGGCCTAGAGAAGGAAAGAGCCCGCGCTGAGGAGGGGCGCCCGCGCCGCGGCCCCAAGCTCCGGCTGTCCCGCTCACGTGCTGCCGGAAAGACGGTTTCACTCTCTTACCCTCTGTAAAATCCTCCTTAACATGGTTTAACCACCACCCGGCGCCGCCTCGGTGACTCTCCAAACCCTGCGCGGGGCCACTGACTACTCGGGGTGCGCGGGCGGGAGGGACTGGGCCGGGAGGGGACCTGGAAGGAGGTCGGGGCGAGGCGGTGGCGGCGGCCGCTCGGGCGGCCCCGACTTCCCCACAGGCGGCGAGAGGGAGCACGCGAGAGAGCGCGAGCAAACGACTAGACAGCCTGCGAGCGCCTCCTGCCCGCCCGCCGGGCGGCCCCCGTAACTGACAGCTGGGCGGGCCCGCCCGCGGCCGCCGGGGGGCGGGGCGGCGGCGGGCCCGCCCCTCGCCTGTCCATCGGCGGGAGGCGGGGCTGAAGGGGGCCGGTCCGGGCCAGCGACCAATCGGAAGCGGTGGCAGCGTGGGCGGCTGCGTGACGGACAGGCGGCAGGACGCTGTCGCCGCAGCTTCTTCCGGCTAGCTGGGGAACGCCGAGGCTGCGGAGCGCACGCCTGGGCTCCGTCAGAGGGCCGCGCCCGCGCGACGACCGCGTGCCAGCTAGTGGGAGGCGGGCGAGGACCCCTGGGGGTGTCCCTCCCTGACCCAGGCGGGAGGAGGGGACTCCTCAGGCTGTTTTGTAAAATGTGTCGATGTCACCCTTCCGGCTGTTGCTCCTGACTGTGGACAAGGTATTGAGCCTGAGCTATATCCTCGTTTCTGCTGGAAACGCTGACTCTGCCTCTTAGCCTCTGGGTTGAAGCCGACTAGAGAATCTTAGACGTGCTTAACCGGTCTGTTGGGCTCCCCTGCCCTTTTCCAGCCCCTGGTTTCCTTTCCCTGCTCCCTTCCTGCTTCTAATTTCAGCCAAAGAGAAAGCAAAGATTTAAAAAAGAAGGGTAGGAAGAAGCTGGAATTTGAATTGTCAAGAGAAGTTTGAGGTTGTCTTTTCTAGATCAAAACAGTTTTTAACAGGCTGATGTTCACATGTTGTGCTTTCCTTTTCCTAAAGCCCGTGCTTGACCTCCTAAGGAATTTTAAGTCCTATTCAGATAATAGATATATGAAGTAAATTGTCATTAATGCCTCTGTTTTATAGATTAAGGAAAAAAAGAGGTCACAGATAAATATCGTGCCAAAACGGCGTGGACTTGGAACTGACCTCCAGGCGCGATGTCATTATTTAACTCGAGAAGTCACAGCTTCTGCATCCTACTATTCTGCCAATATTCACAAGCCAAGAGGCTCAACTTAACACCCTGGTAGAAAAAGAGAAGCCTTTAATATTGCTTGAACAGGGAAGGAGAGGGAATAATGGAACTAACCTTGCTGGGAGGGGAAAAAAAAAACAACTGAACACTGAATGAAGCCTATGAAGCAATGAATGGAGTGCTTTTTGGAAAGTACTTCCAGATCTTTTGAAAAGCAGCACAAAATTAAATATTATTTGCAAACGAGTTAATGAATAGGAAAATATTTTGTAAAGTATTATGCATTATATAATGTAATACGATATTGCTATTCCAGATATATTTGGTCTTTTATTATGTGTGTGTGTCTCTTGATGGTGCAGCAGAACAGTCATGCCTACAGCTAATTTATTAGTAATCACCAGTGATAATGCCCTTACGAAGCACATACTTTTCCATCTTTCTAAACATGAGGTGCTTTATTTTCAGACAATATGGGAAACATTCTCAGCAACATGGGGTGATAAAAGTGACTTTTTCCCTCTTTTTTGTTTTTCAAAAATTAGTTTAGGGTCAGGCACACTGACTTTATGCCTGTAATCCCAGCACTTCGGGAGATGGAAGCAGACAGATCGCTTGAGCCCAGAAGTTCCAGACCAGCCTGGACAACATGGCAATAACTCGTCTAAAAAAATATTAGCTGGGTATGGTGGTGTGAGCCTGTGGTCCCAGCTACTCAGGAAGCTGAGTTGGGAGGATCACCTGAGCCCAGGGAGGTTGAGGCTGCAGTGAGCTATGATCTCACCACTGTACTCCATCCTGGGTGACAAAGTGAGACCGTGTCTTTAAAAAAAAAAAAGTTTAAAACTGCTTATTAGTGTTACATACTAAGACTTTCTTTACTGGAATTCTCCTGTAGAATCCTTTGAATAATATAATAGGCTCTCATCTACAGCTGAGCTACATGGATTATTTGAAAATCCGTGTACTCCCCTGCACAATTCATGATAACTCCATCACTGGGATAATACACTGGAGAACTTAATTACTCCAAAAGAAAATAAGCAGTGGGTGAGACAATCATGTAAGAATACCCTTCACTAATCTAGCAGCTTCCTACACATAGCATTTCTGCTTACCGTGTCTGACCACTAATTCCTATCTGTTCAGCTCTTGTGCATTAATATTCCCCCACCATCTATTTACTTTGATCCCCAGCAAGACCTCAAATCCATTGGCCCCTCTTATTTTCTTACTATCAGTCATTTCCCTAGCCTACTCATTTCTATCAAAACCCCTCCTGAAACCCGTGGTACAACTTTACAATCTTCCCTTTGCAAATATGCTTAACTTCTTCACGTTTCTTTTTTCTTTTTTTTTTTTTTTTTTTTTTTTTTTTTGAGATGTAGTCTTGCTCTGTTGCCTAGGCTGGAGTGCAGTGGTGCAATCTCACTACAATCTCTGCCTCCTGGATTCAAGCGATTCTCCTGCCTCAGCCTCCCGAGTAGCTGGGACTACAGGCACCCACCACCATGCCCAGCTAATTTTTTGTACTTTTAGTAGAGACGGGATTTCACCGTGTTGCCAGGGTTGGTCTCGAACTCCTGAGCTCAGGTAATCCACCCACCTCTGCCTACCAAAATGCTAGGATTACAGACTTGAGCCACCACACCCGGCCACTTCTTCACCTTTCTCTTCCTCCATTGCTTTTGTCTAGCAGAGGCCAAACCCTGGTTAAGTTCAATTAACCACCTACTCTCTGCTGCACAGAATCAATAGGAATAGAAGGCTGGGCACAGTGGCTCACTCCTGTAATCCCAGCACTTTGGGAGGTGAGGGGGGTGGATCACCTGAGATCAGGAGTTCAAGACCAGCCTGGTGAACATGGTGAAATCCTGTCTCTACAGAAAATACAAAAATTAGCCAGGCATGGTGCTGCATGTCTGTAGTCCCAGCTACTGGGGAGGCTAAGGCATGAGAATTGCTTGAAGGCAGGAGGTGGAGGTGGCAGTAAGCTGAGATCACGCCATTGCACTCCAGCCTGGGTGATAGAGTGAGACTTCATCTAATATATACATATATATACACACACACACACACACACACACACATATATAGGAATAGGAAAGTGTCTAAATATCACTAGAGGTACACATACATAACTTGGGTTGTTGGGCTCATTCTGCGTTAATAACCACAGATCTCAGGTATATGTCTCCCCAACAAGAATATCAAATTTCTGAGCACAAGGATCTTGTACCTGTTTCACTGCTGTGACCCCAAAACTAAAACATTGCTCAATTCATGATTAGCACTAAATAAATATTTGTTGAACGAATGAAGGAAGGATTGAAGGAATCCTTCAAAGGAAAGGTATGTAATTACTCCTTTAACAGTTGCCCAGCAGCATTCCTGTTACACTTTATTTCTGTCTTCTTTCTCAAGATCTTCAAGATGGCCTACACATCTATACTTGCTGCACTTTTTCACTCTATATTTTCTTCTCAACCCTTTCCAATCGAGCCTCTGTAGCCTCTGTCCCACTGACTCCAATAAGGCTGTTCTTATGATCACTAACGACCTGCATGTTTCCTATTCCAGTGACTACTTTATTGTTTTGACTTTGACTGTTTCCTATATAGAAAACAGTTAACCACTCTCTCCTTGAGTTACTTTATTCTCTTGGCTTCCTTGACACTATACTTTCTGGTTTTTCTCCTCAGTGCCCGTTGCCTCTCTGTCTGATGGCTTCTCTACTGCATATCTTAATGTTGGAGTGCCCCTACTCTGTTCTGGGGCCCTTGCTTTTATCTGTCATACTCAGCCTGGAAGTAATCTCAACTAGTCCCCTGGCTTTAAATGTCATCTATCAGGCCGGGTGTGGTGGCTCACACCTGTAATCCCAGCACTTTGGGAGGCCAAGGTGGGTGGATCATGAGGTCAGGAGTTCAAAACCAGCCTGGCCAACATGGTGAAACCCCATCTGTACTCAAAATACAAAAATGAGCCCAGCATGGTGGTATGTGCCTGTAATCCCAGCTACTCGGGAGGCTGAGGCAGGAGAATGGCTTGACCCTGGGAGGCGGAGGTTGTGGTGAACCGAGATGGTGCCACTGCATGCCAGCCTGGGCAATAGAGTGAGATTCCATCTCAAAAAAAGAAATCTATATATATATATCTACTTCATATTTCTTCTTGGGTGTCTAGTGAGCATCTCAAACTTAACATGGCCCGAACAAAACTGTTTCATTTTTATCCTGAAAACTTCTTCACCAGTTTTCCTGTCTCAGTATGTATCACTACCAGATTGTTGGTTCAAACCAAAAATCTCTTTATCTCACCACTTCTTTTCCTTCCAGCAAATCCATCAGGATATCCTGACAGATCCACCTCCAAAATATATCCCAAATCTGCCACTTCTTGCCACTTTCACCCTAGTTTATAGCCCCTTCATCTCCTGTTGAGACTACTAGAATAGTCTCCTAGTTGGGCTTCCGGCTTTTACTTTGTCTTCTGTGTAATCCATTCATTACACAGAAGCCAGGCACAACTTTTAAAAATGCAAATCAAAAATGTCACTGCCCTCCTAGATTGTAGCTTCCCATTATCATCACAATGAAATCCAAATACCTCATCCTGGCTTACATGCCAGCCTGCTGATCTGGGCCTGCCTGCTTCTCTGCTTTCCACTTAGAACATCCTCCCCTTGGCCCACTATGCCCCAGCTGCTCTGAACTTTTCTCAGTTGCACAAAACCTATTCCTTCCTGTACACCAACCAGTTCCTATTTAGGGAATGCTTTCTCCTGACATCTTGTAGTTAATTTTGTGTCATTCAGATAATTCTCTTAAAGTCACTTCCTTAGAGAGGTCTTTAAGGACAACCTCATCCAAAGTGCTTTGAATCTGTAGTCACCCATTCTAATTCTCTACATGGTAGAGAAACTACCATTTCTGACTTACCTTGTTTGTCTGCATATGTCTTCCCAACAAGAATGTCAATTTTCTGAGCACAAGGATCTTGTCCCCTCTTCAGTGCTGCGACTTCAAAACCAAAACATTGCTCAATTTGTGGTAAACACTAAATAAATATTTGTTGAATTAATGAAGGATTGAAGGAATGAAAGGTATATAATTACTGCTATAACAGTTAACTTCCAAAGGTCCTCAAGCTAACATCTTCCTATTTACGAAGAAGTGATCCAAATGCAACAATCCTGAAAGCAATCCAACAATCTTTTGATCCCATCTGACAATCTTTTTTCTTTTTACATAATGTGTGTGCATGTTTCTTGACTCTTCAAAATTTCCCAGTATTTATTATGGGAAACAACCTATTTCTTACTTTCCATAAATTAGAACATTGGGCCGGGCTTGGTGGCTCATGCCTGTAATCCCAGCACTTGGGAGGCCAAGGCGGGCAGATCACCTGAGGTCAGGAGTTCAAGATCAGCCTGGCCAACATGGTGAAACCCTGTCTTTACAAAAATACAAAAATTAGCTGAGCATGATGGCGGGCGCCTGTAATCCCAGCTACTCAGGAGGCTGAGGCAGGAGAATCCCTTGAACCCGGGAGGTGAAGGTTGCAGTAAGCCAAGATCAGGCCATTGCACTCTAGCCTGGGTGACAGAGCAAGACTCTGTCTCAAAAAACAAAACAAAGCAAGCAAACAAAAAAACATTTTTAAGGCACCCTTCTTGTCAATTTCCTGTGCTATAACCAAATAATTCACTTCCAACTAGAAGCAAGTCCATGAAAAAATCACAATATCGCTTGAACCTGGGAGGAAGAGGTTACAGTGAGCCAAGATCGCGCAACTGCACTCCAGCCTGGGCAACAGAGCAAGACACCATCTCACCAAAAAAAAAAAAAAAATCACAACAAAAATAAGCAAAGTGTAAATGATGGCTCTGTATACAAGGCCAAAACAGTTTATGAATTCTTTAGAATTCAGACATGATCACTAACCCAACTAAAATAGCTTTTTCTTTCTTTTTTCTTTTTTTTTGGTTTTAAATTAACTGAATGGTTCACAAATTATGTTAACATCATTGAACTAACTAGTTGAAGCCTAGCATTGATCTATGCTTCTTTCAGCCTTTGAGGGCAGGGTAGAGAGGGCAGTAAAGATGAGGAGCTCAGAGGAGTTGGGAGATACATGAATTCTCTAGTACTTCCTGCTGGTTTTCTCCAGGCCCTAACTGACTTGCATAACCTCAAGAAAAGTCTCTGGTCTCCATTGAATTTATTTGAAGGCAGGATTAGGGAAAATTCAAAATAATAGTGAAGACTAAGTACTGATTTTTTTTTATCTTGCCCAAATTCCTACCTAAGGGGCC